TAGAGAGAGAGTCAGAAGAGAGCCGGTGCATGGAGCGGCAGTTCATGAAAACAGACACTTTGTTAGAACTTTATCTATTGTGAACATACTTTAGTAGATACATAGATTAAATATATGAACCCCAAAAAGGGCAGAATATGACCTCTTTAAAACTGAAGCTTTGACTTTGGCAGAAAATACATCAATATGTTTGTAAAATATCGAGCTAATGTGTATAATCAGGGGACGCTCCCCTCTCCCAGGCTCTCTGAAACACCCGCCGGCTCCGTGTATTTACTGGAGAAAATTGGCCCGTTGTTTAATCCTGGAGGGGGTTTGGGACTGAAAACCTTCTGATGTGGAGTTTGAGATTTTATTCACTGCACAGGTAAGTGATGTGTGATTTATCTAAAGCTCCACAGTGTCTCAAACTCACTTTTACAAACACCTCGAGTTTTCTCTCCTCCATGAGCTGAAACGGAGCTCACTGGACTTTATGCTAGCTGGAGTCTCCTGAGTCAGAGAGGTGTCAAACAAATCGACCTAATACTGATTATTAGTGAGGATCATTTCATAAAAGATCATTTAAAATGCTTTACTTTGAATAATAGTTTGTGTCTGACATGTTTTTAACTGAAACAAAGATAAGAAACTGAGTTAAATGATTATAATGACTCTCCTTACACCTCATGTAAAAACCCAGAACCTCTTCATATGGAAACTAAATATTTCAATATGTTTCATTTGTAAAGTTGAACTGTTGGACACAACACGTCTCCTACTTCACTGTAAAGTCTCAGTGTTTGTGTGTTTGTTGCTTTATCACACTGTAAGTTTCATACTGCACCCTGATTGGCTCCTAACTAGTGATGACGTCATGAATCCTGCAGGTACATCCAGGTGTTAAACTGCTGCTCTTTGTGAAATCTCTCAGTTTATCACTCATTCTCTTCTATATAACTGAGTCTCAGTAGTTGACTATAACAGAGGCTGTCACACTGTGAGGAGAGCTGGCAGCAGAGACGTGAGGGCTGAAAGGGACAGGTGTGTGCAGGTGTTGGAAGCAGGAAGTTAGTTAGTTATTCTAGTTTGTCAGCAGTGACACTCAGGTACTGTAAATCACCTGTAGTAGTCCCTTTGTTAGTCCAGTCATACCTGCGTCAGGTTTGAACACAGACAGATTTGGATTGGCTGTGACTGACACTTGAACTCTGCTTTGATAATAAGTGCAGAAGCTGCCTGAGAATCCTCATGTTTGGACGTTTTCTTCAGGATCAAAGTAATCCAGTGATATTTGTGTGAACAACATGAGAACAGGAGCTGCTAACAGCTCATTCAGCTCACTGTTCATGGACACTATTGGACTGAATGTTAACCAATATAACAAACAGAGCTTCACGTGTCGCCCACGGCTAACTCACCGACTTCATGGAGACTTTTCACTTCATGTTTACGTCCACAAAACCCTAAGAATCATGGGAAGTGTAGTCCAGAGCAAGTTTACTCTTCAAACTGAGGTTAAGAAAAGAATATTGATTAAAAACTGTAAACTGAAGGGATGAACAGTAGTGAGTTTATAAATGATATACAGTATCAAAATATAAATATATTGACTGGATTCATGTAATGTTCACTTTTTATGTTCTCATGTTTTTATGAAGGAACCAGATATTTTCTAACAGTTGTTTCTGTTTTTTACAGACGATCCATGCAGGCCTTGAACTCAGCACAGGTAAGAGTGTTAGATGTGACTCACAGTGAACAGGAAGCTGATATCACCTCCAGCACACTCCACTGATGTATTGTGTTCACTTCATGATGAACTGGAGTTATTTCACATTGTGTCACCACAGAAGAAGAAGAAGAAGTCTAAATTCACAGCAGTTCATACACACATATGAAGATTCACTTGTTTCTCATTGGTCAGTTCTTTGTGACTCGGCCTGTCTGAGACTTTTATGAGCTGAGCCAAGAGTCTGTCTCCTCACTACACTCAGGTTTGTTTGGAGGTGTACAGAGCTATACTGCCCTCTAGAGGCAGAGAGCAGTAACTACAGTCACAGCACAGGAAAAAGCATTTTAAGTTTCCATGGAGACAAACAGGTAGAGAGGCTGTAATAGGTCCATTTACTGTGTGAACATCAGTGATATAGAAGCTGCTACAACCACAAACTGTTGATCTACAGTCTGAATGTATCTCTGAGTCATATTTCTATGGAATAAATCAACACATCATTATATTTAAATCTATGATTTAGAGGTAGTTTAAGCACCAAATCACATGAATTCCCCTCCAGTCAAAGGTCACTGAGATCTATGCTAAGCTAGTTATCTTTAACAGCAGTTGAACTGTTCTCATCATGATCACATTTAGCTGCTGCTTCATTTAGTCGTGTAGAAAAACAGACTGAACACACAAGATGTGAGTTTATCAAGAATATAGTTTCTATTTCCAGATAACAGCCAGGGGAGATCAGTTAGCAGCTAAGCTAGCAGCTTTAGTAGCAGCTGTAGCTAAGGCTAACTGTGCTATGAGAGCAGCTAGCTTAGCCTTGATGAAAGTTGAGGTGTGTAGCTTCAGATGTGTATTTAGCTGAATGAATGTGAAGCTGGCAGGTAGATGACAGATGACACAGTCAGAGTGCAGTCACTGCAGTTTGAGTCACAACACATTTAAAAAACACTTTTCACAGAAATGAAACTCTTCTCTGCTCTGATCTGTTTTTAAAGTAAAGCAAACGTGAACTCAGTTTGGACCAAATATGGAGTCACTGCGTTTAGTCTCTGTTGGCTCGTATGACCATAAAAACATGGAGAGACAGTAACCATCTGCTCCCTGCTCTACAGATGTGCATTAATAATGTGTGTTTATAGAGATTATTTGTGGGATAAGTTGAAGGAGGTAAACATGGAGTGTGTGTGTGTGTGTGTGTGTGTGTGTGTGTGTGTGTGTGTGTGAAGAAGTTTTAACTGTGTAGCTGTAGTTAGCTACTGAAGCCAGCTAGTTCATGGTGCTGCTAATGTTAGCTTCATAATGTGCTCATACAGTGTTCAGGCCCTCATTATTCATACCTGATGCTTTAGTCACCTTCTGTTCCTCACAGTAACAACAGGTGTTGAAGCTAATGCTAAGGCCTGCTATATCTCTACAGCTATATTTACAGTGAGTGTGTCTTCCTGCTGCTCTGCATGTTTTATACGGTATCTTTGTACGTACCACGTCGTCTCTACTCCATCTGAAATCAGTCCAATCAGCAGCAGTGCTGTGTGGACGCTCTTTGTGACCGTCTCAGTGTGCTCTCACTTAGAACACAGGTAGGACTTATTTCTGTCTCATAGCTCATACTTTCAGATCACAGCACAGGAAGTGATGTCATCAGGAGGCATGGTCTAGAAGAAGCAGCTTCCTGTCTTACATCAGGATAAATATCATGGTTATAGTGCCCTGTAGTGGTAGCACACAGAATATATTCATATTGAAACTATGTGAATCAAAGGAACGAGTCAAACGATGAGCAGCAGAGGAGAAAGAGAATCTTCACAGAGAAATCACTGATGAGCTATGGAGGTGTACACAGCGCCACCACATGCACGCATGCTGCAGCAATTCATCCTGATAGAGAGGCTGAAAGCTGCAGCCTGAACACTCTTTGGTACGCTGTTCTCTTTCAGCACCATGTCTTCATCATCATCATCATCATCATCATCATCCTCGCTCTTCTCTCTGCCTCAGCCATCGTGTTAGCTAACCTCGCTCTCAGCACTAAATGTACAACAAGCTGAGGCTTCATCTGATTGGTCAAATGTTCACCTGCAGAGTGTGAAGGAACGTCACGTCCACATTGAATGATTCGTTTTCCAGGAAGTGTTTCCGATGCGTTTATTACGTGTGTTCAGTTTCCGATGACGATGGAAGATTTATTTTGCCGCCATGCTGACTGATCACATGATTACAGAACCACTTCAAACCAGGTACGAGGTCGACTTCATTCTCATTGTCTCGTATCAAATACTCAGTTTACAGGGAACAAAGGTGTTTTTATCAGAGCTAAAGTTAAACAGACATTTCAAAAGAAAAGACATCCAACAAGTTCAGACAGGAAAGAGAAGTAGTATGAAGTGAAATAAAGATGCTTCATTAATGTCAGTAAGATGATGATAATATTACACAGAGTACAGTCTACACCTCTTCTTTATGGAAGGAGTCATGAGCTAACACTTTTTTAATCTGGAGCTTTATGAATATATTATTATTCAATGATAAACAACAGCTAATGATACTTCATCATCATCATCCTTTGAATCAGGTCACCAGTTTTTAGTAACTTGGAGTTCATGAATCTGAGACCTGACCTGGATCCTGAACACCTGGATCCTGAACACCTGGATCCTGAACACCTGGTCCTGAACACCTGGATCCTGAACACCTGGATCCTGAACACCTGGATCCTGACACCTGGATCCTGACACCTGGATCCTGAACACCTGGATCCTGAACACCTGGATCCTGACACCTGGATCCTGAACACCTGGATTCTGAACACCTGGATCCTGAACACCTGGATCCTGAACACCTGGATCCTGAACACCTGGATCCTGAACACCTGGATCCTGAACACCTGGATCCTGAACACCTGGATCCTGAACACCTGGATCCTGAACCACCTGGATCCTGAACACCTGGATCCTGAACACCTGGATCCTGAACACCTGGATCCTGAACACCTGGATCCTGAACACCTGGATCCTGAACACCTGGATTCTGAACACCTGGATCCTGACACCTGGATCCTGACCCTGGATCCTGAACACCTGGATCCTGAACACCTGGATCCTGACACCTGGTTCCTGAACACCTGGATCCTGAACACCTGGTTCCTGAACACCTGGATCCTGAACACCTGGTTCCTGAACACCTGGATCCTGAACACCTGGATCCTGAACACTGGATCCTGAACACCTGGTTCTGAACCTGGATCCTTACACCTGGATCCTGAACACCTGGTTCCTGACACCTGGATCCTGAACACCTGGATCCTGAACACCTGGATCCTGAACACCTGGGCTGTGTCTGAAATCACTCCCTATCCACTATGTAGTGGACACGCCATTTTGTAGTGCAGTCCGAATTCTGAGTGAGCATGGTCATACCCTATATAGTCCACTCAATGTATCCCACAATGCATTTTGAAAAGTAGTGTATGAGCGATGGTCACTATGCGAGCAATATATACCATCATGCATTGCGGTTCAAACAGAAGAAATGGCCGACAGACAGGACCATGAAAGCGTGCAGCGGGAGCTGACTTTTAAAATGTTCAACGATTGTTTCACTTTGGATTTCCGCTTTTCAGGATTATGAGACACGTTATAACGTGTTATCACAGGTACTATAATTACGCCTCTACGGTAAAAACCCAGCTAGCTAGCATTAGCCTTTAGCTATCTTTTAGCCACCATTAGTAGCATGTTAGCATTGCTAACTAGCGTCAGCGGTAAATTGCATTGGCATTTCACTAAAGTACCGGAGCAAAATTGATCTTATTCTGTTCAGGGACTGATGACGATGTAGCCCAGCTGATCCGGCTGAGGAGGGAGAAGGACCACCCCTTCAGCGGGAGGCGGTTTGCTGCTGCTGCAGGATGGGAGTGAGACATTTCATTATTATTAATAGCTTTCTTATTGTGATGTGTCATTATATTGGAGGTAAAATGTTCTTGACTTATAGCTTTCTAGTAGGCTATAGTTATTCATGATTTTGAGACACTTTGTAGGCTATTGTGTAATATATTTGTATGTTTTTTTTACATTTTGAAGAACTTTGCTGAAAGACATGCTGCTGTCTGATCGAGTCAGTCCTGCTCGGGCGGCTAAAAAGTGGGAGAACTTGAAGAAAACGTACAAG